GTAGGTAAGGTATTGCAGACAACCTCCTTGAGGCATTCAAAGCTTGAATTCATTGTAACTGAGATCCCATCAATCCTGTCTTGCACCTCTTTATAAGCCTTTACTGCACTATTGAGAATCTGCACCATGATTTTGGACACATCAGAGCCTATCTCCTTTGACACTCCATAGACATCTTCAATTATGATTTACATAGAGGTTAGAGAGTCCTTGATGACAATCAATTTGACATTGATGGAGGCTAACTTTTCAATGAGATCGGGATCACCTGCACTGGGAAGAGACACATAGTTTTTTGCTTTTGTGTTGAAGGGGGCATTTTTGGCCTCACCGTCTTGCTTTTTTACCAAGTTCCCTTTACTACAATGTACCCATGCAAGCGAATGCTCAGGAGTTATAAGACTTGGTAATGATGACATAGGGATAGTTTGCAAGAGATATGTTGTGGGCTTCTAATAGATGGGTAATGACCATACCATAGGGAAGACTCGTGGGATCATCGTCACTCTATATCATGAAATGGATGACCCAAGAGGATAATTTGACCTTGTATTTAGTCAAAAGATAGTAGACCAGGAAGGTATCATATTGGAAAAAGGTAGAGAAGTATCATGTTCTTAGGAGAAGAGTGGATGCCATAATATGTGCTAGGACACGAGTTTCGAAACAAATGTCTCTAGGTCCTAATTGACTGGGAAGGGAATTAGAGGGTGATTCAGCTATACACTTTTTTGCTTGTTAAAAAAAATTCAAAATCCACAGGCCAGGTATTCTTAAAAAGCATAGAGAAACTGGAACACTTACACTGAAAAATAGAGTCAAACAGAGCATAATCCAACACAATACGTTTGCTAAGAACTAAGGTTTCTAAATTGTCAAGTTTGTTAGAGCAAATATTAGCATAGAACATTTTAACAAGGGATTCGTATACCTTTGGAAGAGGCAAGAAAAGAGAGTTTTTCCACCCCTAGAAGTCGAAGAGCTCCTTGACTTTGCAGTTGAAACTTTTCATGACACTTAGATCAATGACTCTGCCATGGGCTACAGGTTTGTCTTTGAAGGCTTTGAAGGCGTCCCTGTTGGGTGTGTCCCAAAAATTCAGGTCTGATTCGAGAGAACTTGAGAGATCAGTTTTGGGATTTTTGGGTGTGAAGGTTTCAAGGATATCTTCCATGGGTCATTTTTCTAGGACTTTTTTATTGAGATTACGCGCATCATCTGAGAGTTCCTGAGAGGAGGAAAAATCCTCAGAGTGGTCAGATCCTAGATTAACTGGTTCATGAGGTTGAGAAGAGGGTTTTGCTCAAGAAATAGTGCTTTTGCAGGTTGAGGCAGAGGGGATTTTGGAGTTTTTTGCCATTTTATGGTTAGGAGTAGATGATTGGAGATACAAACAATGTGAGGAAGTTTGGTGGATGAACTTGACTTAAAAATATGGAAGCTAACGGTTGAGTACAAACGAAAAAGGCGTTAGTGATTCGACATTATGATTGACTGATCTTTGAAAAGGCATGAAAATGTGTGAAAAAGGAAAAGTAAAGAAAACATAATTAATGTTACTTACACACATAAGGAAATACACAGAATAAGTGACGGAAAAATTTAAAAAATATCACAAAGGCCTTAAAATTATGAATTAATGAAAATAATGCCAAGAGAGTCTCGTAATGCACAAAATATTTCCTCGAGCAGGGGTTTTGTAAAAATATCTGTCAATTGATTAGGGGAACTTACAAACGATAATTCTATGTTCCCTTTAAGGACAAGATCTCTAATAAAATGATATTTTATATCTATATGCTTTGCTCTAGAATGATGCACATGAGTTTTAGAAGGCATATAGCACTAGAATTATCACAAATATTTGAATAGGTTTAACAGATAATTCATAGTCACCCAATTGATGTGACATCCAGAGTAATTGAGCACACCATTGTCCAATTGCAATGTACTCTGCGTCAGTTGTGGAAAGAGCTATTGATTCCTATTTCTTACTGTTCTAGGAGATTAATACTTTTCCCAGTAATTGACAAGTGCCATTTGTGCTTTTTCTGTCTTCCTTCTTACCTGCAAGATCAGCATCTGAAAATCCTTCAAGTTTAAAATTGTTAGAGAGTGGATGCCATAGTCCATAAGAAGTGGTTCCAATAAGATAGTGTCTTATTGGCTTTACTGTAGTTAAGTGTCACGTCTTAGGATCTGACTAAAATCTGGCACATTTACAAACACTGAACATAATATTTGGTCGACTAGAAGTTAAATATAGTAAGGATCAATCATTCCACGTTACTTGGATGTATCCACTGAGTTTCCCTATTCATCCTTGTCTAAACTTGTAGAAGGACTCGTAGGAGTTCCAATTGCTTTGGCATTACTCATTCCAAATTTTTGAATTGATTTCTTTGTATACTTGGTCTGGCAGATGAATATGCCACTTACTGACTGATGAATTTGGAGCCAAGGAAGAATGTGAGTTCTCCCATAATACCCATTTTGAACTCACTCTGCATGAGATTTCAGAAATCCTTGCGTAAAAGAAAATTAGTGCTGCCAAATATAATATCATCTATATAGATCTAGATAATTAGATTACCTTCAGTGGATCTTTTGATGAATAAAGTAGCATCTACCTTATCTCTGATGAACCCATGATCAATTAGAAAGGAACTCAATATTTCATACCAAGCTCGAGGGGCTTGTTTGAGTCCATAAAGAGCTTTGGAAAACTTATATACATGGTAAGAAAATTGTGAGTTTTCAAAGCTAGGGGGTGTTTTACATATACCTCCTCATCAATAAAACCGTTTAGAAAAGTACTTTTGACATCCATTTGAAATATTTTAAAACCTTTAAAAGATGCATAGGCAAGTAGTCTACAAATTGATTCTAACCGTGCTACCGGTGCAAAGGTTTCATCATAGTCGACTCCTTCCTGCTGTGAGTAGCTTTGAGCTACTAATCTGGCTTTGTTTCTGCCTAGCTTTCCATCTTTATTTAACTTGTTTCTAAATACCCACTTTGTTCCAATGACAGTAGCATTTGTTGGCTTAGGTACCAGTTCCCAGACTTGATTCTTGTCGAATTGATCAAGTTCTTCATGCATAACTTGTATCCAACTGGAGTCTTTTAAGGCTTCATCAGCTTTCTTTGGCTTGACTTGAGAAATGAGTGTAATATTTTCCTTCTTTTTGATAGCTCATATGGTTTTCATTCCTTCTCTTTGATCCCCTATGATAAACTTTTGAGGGTATTCTGGTTCGCTTCTCCATTTATTTGGTCGCGTTCCAATTGCAAGAGTAGTTGACTCCTTTTATGGTTCAGTATGGTTGCCAACAGGTTCACTAGTCAACTCTGTGACTACGTCTGTATTGTCAGTCAATTTTTGTGACTTGTTTGCCTGTGGTGCTTCTTGACGGATATCTTCATCACCTGCAATGATTCTTTTCTCGGCCGTAGTGTTATTGTCATCAAATATAACATGCACTAATTCTTCTACAGATAAAGTACATTTGTTGTAAACTCAAAAAGTCTACTAATAATGGAATAATCGAGAAAAATACCTTCATCTCTCCTTGGATCAAATTTTTCAAGGTTATCCTTACCATTATTGTGGATGAAGCACTTACTTCCGAACGGATGAAAGTAGCCTATATTAGGTCTTTTGCATTTCATAATTCATATGGAGTCTTCTTCAAAATGGGTCTTATGAGACATCTGTTGAGGATATGACATGTTGCGCTGATTGCTTCTGCCCAAAAATGATTTGGCAATGAATATTCTAATATCATTATCCTGGACATATCTTGTAGAGTTCTATTCTTGTGTTCAAATACCCCATTATGTTGGGGTGATCTTGGAGCTGAGAAATTATGAGTACATTCGTGATCGTTGCGTAAATCTTCAAAGGCTCTGCTTTCAAATTCTCCTCCTTGGTCACTTTTAATAGATGTAATGAGATACCCCTTTCTCTTTAAATTCTTTTGCAGAAAATTTCAATTTTTTTAAAAGCTTCATCTTTATTAGATAAGAAAATCACCCATGTAAAACATGAGTAATCATCAATAATAAGAAAACCATATCATTTACCTCCAATGCTGGCAATTCTAGTAGGACCAAATAAGTTCACATGAAGTAATTGTAAGGGCTTGGTTGTGGACACAATGTATTTGGGTTTGGAAGAGTTTCTAGTTTATTTTCCAATCTGACATGCATCACATACATGACTTCTAGAAAAATTGAGTTTGGGAAGGCCAATAAATAGATCATGCTTTGAGAGTTTTTTAATTAAATGCATGCTTGTATGACCAAGTTTTTTATGCCAAAGCCATGGATCATCAAATATGAATGTTAAACAAATATGACTATCTAGATTTTTAATGCCATCAAGAATGTATACATTCCCATACCTTTTTTCCTGGGAGAATGATTTTACCTGACTCGTCTTCAATGGCACATCCTGTTGTCTTGAATTTACCTTCATATCCCGAATCACATATCTAACTTATACTCAAGCGATTGTAGTTGAGTCCATCCACAAGGTATACTTCTGTAATATCACATTTATTGCGGAATGGAACTGTGCCAGTACCAACGATCTTTCCTTTTGAATCATCACCAAATTTGACATTTTCTCCATTTATTTTTGTGACTTCTTTGAACAAATTTTTGTCACCCGTCATGTGACTGGAACACGCACTGTCTAAATATCATTTCCCTTTGCGACTCTTTCTGTGGTGTTCATGCAAGATAAAAAATATCACCTTTTGTTAGGTACCCAAGCTTTCTTGGTTCTTGTTAGTTAGTTCTATTGGAATCAAGATTATTTTTGTGTTTTCAAATCTATCCTTAAACATTTGTTTTACGAAATCTACATAAGGGATATTTATGTCCAGTCTTGTTACAGTATTGACACACAGGGGTTGATCTAGTTTTTGATCTACCACTTATATTAGTACTTGCGGACTCAGTTCAAATAGGTCTTTTTCCAGTTGACTTGTAAGTCACTTGGTTAGACTTGACAGAACTGTGACTGGTGGGCGCATGCGAATAAGTTGTATTTGCAATTCCTGAACTTCATCCTGAAGCACATCTCTTTCGATTTCACAGACTGCAAGTTTAAGTTCACAGTCCTTCTTCTCTCTATTGAGCCTCTTTAATTCATTTAATATTTTTGAGACTCTTTTAGGATAAGGTCAGGAATATCCTGAAATTCATTAAATCTATCACAATTATAGGGTCTTACCTCACTTGTTGCAGCACGTGCCATGAAGCAATTTTCAGTATCTTCTTTGCATTCATCATCTAATGCATCTTAATCAGTCCAACAACCGGAATATTTGTTTATATTATTTTTCAAAATAGTCATGAAGCACAGGTTTGCTATTTCTTCATGTTCTGAGCTATCTTCATCACTCCAGCTTCCGAAAGATTTGTTTTTATTGAAAAATCTGGAGACTTTTCTTTTAAGATCCGGGTATTTAGTTTGAACATGACCATACCTTCCATATTCAAAACACATTCCTTCATTTTTGTCTTTTCCATTATATTGTCTGGTTCTTCTAGATAACATTCTTCCTTTTTTTGTGTTTTTGTATCATCTCATCAGTCCATTCATGTTTCTTGACACCATGACAATTTTTTCTTCAAGAGCTTCTGCATCATCATCAATATCGTTTTCAAGTCCTTCAGTTGTAGTTTTGAAAGCAATTGTTTTCTTCTTCTCTTCCTGACGCGTTTTCTTGAGATGTGTTTTCTCAAATGCTATGAGATCTCCTCATAGTTCAACATATGATAGTTTGTCTAAATCTTGAGATTCAAGTGCAACTATATGATAGTTTGTCTAAATCTTGATATTCTAGTGCAACTACTTTTGTCTGCCATCTGGTGGGCAAACTTTTCAGGATTTTCGAACCTGGTCACCACTTGAGTTATGTTTATCAAAGGTTTTCAGATCGCCAATGATTTTGCTGAATCTTGAAAATATTTTCTCAATAGATACTCCTTCTTTCATCTGGAAGAGTTCATAGTCGTGAACCAACAAGTTTATCCGAATTTCTTTCACTTTGCTGGTTCCTTCATAAGTAACTTTTAGTTTGTCCTGCATTTCCTTGGTGGTATCACAACTTGAAATTTTCTCATCCTCTTCTCCACTTATAGAATTATAAAGCAAGTTTCGTGCCTTAGCATTAACTTGGACAACAACCATTTGCTTGACAATGTACTCATCTATATCTTCAGGATCAGGTGGTGGTTGTCATGCTGCTGGAAGTAGATAATTTTCCTTTTTGATAACACGCCATACTTTGACATCATATGACTTTGCATAAATTTCCATGCGTACCTTTCAATGAGAAAAGTATTGTCGATTGAAATATGGTAGCCTTACTTGCAATGTCCCTTCATGAAAGAGTGATCCAATAGTTACTTGGTTTGACATGATCTTTTCTCACTAGCTGTTAACCAAAAGATAAAAATATGGGACCTGCTCTAATACCAATTAAAAGCACAAGAGAGCAGTGAATTGTCTATTTTTCTTTTTCTATACTAAGTAGTTGACTAGTTTACCGATTTGTCGACTGAAAGTAAGAACAGAATCTAAATAAAAACAGAAGTAAAAATGAAGAAACTAAAGACACCAAGATTTTTTTACTGGTTCAGATTTAATGTAAATCCTACGTCCAGTCGCCTTGGGTTGCAAGGATGTTCTCTTTCAAGTATTTAAAGTTTCTCGATACGGAAGGGTTGATGTAGTTATACACCAATAACTTAGTCACTATATAAGTTCTCACTTCTTGATATCACCAGTGATTTTTCTCTCTTTTTCTCTCCCTAGTTATAGAGTAGATCTAAAGTAGACTATAATGCTTGTTTGAAGTTGAACAAAAAGATTGATAGTGGTTCGATCAAAGTATGTTCTTTCCAAACTAATATAGTTATGTATATAAACTCCGTGAGGCCTTATTATCTTGTAAATCTTGATAGATTGCAAGCCCAAGGAAGTTGATCTCAGAAAGGAATCGTAGATTGATTCTTTCTAAGAATAAGATATTGCTTATGTTGATATGCCTAGATTTGTGGTCTTGATTGGATTTTTCCTTTGCTGAGCAGATTTTACCGTTATTTGAAGTAGAAAATCATATCCCTTGATTGCGGATTTTGATTGTCGTCCTTAGATGGAGGAATCTCTAGTACATAGTTTTGTGCCCTTGATTTCCTTTGATTATGGTCTTTCCTATAATGTCCTCCTTAATCTTCTGCCAAATCCTTGATTGATTTTGCCTTTGAATTTCTGCTACTCCTTCCTTTTTCATCTTAAATCTTCGATGCTTCCTTTTCATTGCTAAATAAGTGTTGCTGCACATCTAAGGAAAAGAATGTGTTATTTTTAATCATTAAAATAAACTTAGATCTAACTATTAAACCATTATATGCCTCTTGTTGTTATCATGCCTTCCTTGATATCGTGTTTTTCTCCATTTGTATGACTACGTGAGCTATTATTCATGCTAAAAATCATATTTAGGTTATTGCTTATCTGTTTGAGACATGATATGACTATTTTTGCTTTGTCGAGTTATTTGCGTTAGCCGTAGTCATATTTTCCAGTCATGATATTATATTCGCGTGTTATGTCTCCGTATATGTGCACTCTTTATATGTTATCTCAAATATTTTTAGTGTCCTTGTGCTTGACACGAGTTTGAGTTGAGTTGCAGCACGTTGGTATTTTTCGTGCAGTATCTTTATTTTGATACTGTCAGATGTCGGCATAATGAGACTTGAGGAGATTGATGATTGATTTTGGTTCATAGAGACATGTTGAGCAGATTGATGACTTATCTTGGACTGTAGAGCTGTGTTGATATTGATAATAAGGTGACACTTGCGTCAAGTCCCCATATTTGGCTGAGTGATGTCGATTGTTGACTTTTAATCCAATCAGCGCTTGGGCTAAGATCCGCCCCTTCAAAGTCAGGTGATAACCCATGTTACTTTGGGCCTTGTGAGTACATGCACACGATATGTACTTAGTAAGGGACTTATGTCAGGCACCCTTACAGTGCTGAGTGTGTGTGTGTATATGTAATGATTTAGGGGTATTTTGCTAGGCACCATGAGAGTGTTGTGAGTATGATTGAAGGATACTTGTTCCAGGCACTATGAATGTGCTGAGATTTGTATACTTGATGATTAAACTTTGATTTTGTTGATTTTTATGTGTATATTGTCATGCAGGTATAGAGTTCTATTTTTGTCATGTTAGTTAGTATTTGATGTGTCTATTTGATGTTTAGAGCTTGTAATCACAGTTTACTTTGATAAATCCATGTCTAGGTGATTTTTGTGAAAACGTGGATGCCTTGATTATTGTACTTGAAAAGCTGCTTATTTTTCATCTTTGTGATAGAGTTGAACTTGATATTAGTTGAGCTGATTTTCCTTTTTTCTATTATTATGTTGTTATTGTTGTCGTTGGCTGTTGAAAGTGTGTATTGGACCTTGCCAACCTTATCATTGCTTTCAGGTTGAGGTTAGGCTTGCTACTTACTAAGTACATGGGGCCGATTGTACTTATACTATACTCTACACTTTATGTGCAAATTCAGGAGTTGGAGCTCTATAGAGCTCATGCATTTGGTGATACCATATTTGGATGGTTTTCAGTTGTATCATCATTTCAACTTTAGTTATTTATGTTATTCTGTTATTGAGACTGTCTCTTACTGTTGTTAAAAATTTCTACATATTTGTTGATGGCTTTCCTAACAAGTGGTGTTAGGTGCCATCACGACTCCAGTGAAATTTTTGGTCATGATAGGTGTGTACTAATACAACTTGGCAAGGTGGTGGAGTATGTCTCAAGGAAACTCAAGAACCATGAGAATAATTATCTAAATCATGACTTAGAGCTTGTGGCGGCAGTGTTTGCATTAAAGATTTGGCATCATTACTTGTATGGGGTCCATGTGGATATATACACTGACCATAAGAGTCTTCAATATATATTCAAGATGAAGGAGTTGAATAGGAGGTAAAAAAAGATGGATTGAGTTACTTAAAGACTACGACATCGACATTCTCTATTATCGGGGAAAGGCTAATGTTTTGGCTAATGCTCTTAGCCGAGAATCGATAGGTAGTTTGGCTCACTTGAAGTCATACCAAAGGTCGATGGCCAAGGAAGTTCACCGGTTGGCTTGTTTGGGAGTCAGACTCATAGAATCTAACAAGGGCAGTATGATTAACCAGAACAAAGCTGACTCATCGTTGTGGTAGAGGTAAAGGAGAAGAAGTATGACGATCCTCTCTTTGTACAACTGAAAGAAGGAATTCATAAACACAAGACCATGGTTTTTATCTCTAGGTGTGAATGATGGTACATTGAGGTACCAAGGGAAATTGTGTGCACCTGATGTAGGCATCCTTAAAGGGAGAATCATGACTAAGGCTCATACTTATAAGTATTCAATGCACCCAGTCTCTACAAAGATTTATCATGATCTTAAGGAGATCTACCAGTGGAATTACATGAAAATGGATATATCATACTTTGTGCCTAGGAACCCAAATTGCCAGCAGGTGACGGCCGAGTATTAAAGCCGGTGGTTTGGCATAGAATATAGAAGTTCCAATGTGGAAGTGGTAGATAATAAACATAGATTTTGTAGTAGGTCTACCTAGCACACCTTGTAAGTTTGACTCAATTTAGGTAATTGTGGACCAACTTACGACGTCATCACACTTATATCTTATTAAGGCCACTGACACAGCAGAAGATTTTCCTCAGATGTATATCAAGGAAATAGTTAGATTGCATGTCACTCCATTTTCCATCATCTCGGACAGAGGAGCACAATTCACTGCTAACTTTTGGCAGAAATTTCAGCAAGGGTTGGGTATTCAGGTGAATCTTAGTGCAGCCTTCCATTCTTAGACTAATGGGAAAGCCGGGAGAATTATTCAAATTCTTGAGGACATGTTGTGTGCATGTATTCTTGATTTCAAGGGCAATTGGGATAATTATTTGGCGCTCATATAATTTACCTACGACAACAACTATCATGCGAATACCCAAATGATACCATTCGAGGCCCTATATGATAGGAGATATAGGTTCCCTATTGGTTAGTTCGAAGTTGGTGAAGTAGAATTGATAGGGTCAGACCTCGTACATCATGTTATAGATAAGGTCAAGATCATCAAGGAATGATTGAAAATCTCTTAGAGTCTCCAAAAGTCATATTCAAATGTGCAGCGCAAAGCTTTAGAGTTCAAGGAAGATGATTGGATATTCCTGAAAGTTTTTCCCGTGAAAAATGTAATTCGATTTGGGAAGGTAAGGAAACTAAGTCCAAGGTACATTGGATCTTATAGGGTTTGGGAATGAATTGGCCAAGTAGCTTATAGGCTTGAATTGCCTCGAGAACTATTGTCTACGCATCCTGTGTTCCACGTGTCCATATTGAAGAACGTGACTCGTAATCCGTCATTCATTATTCCTCTGGAGAGAATTAAGCTTAATGAAAGCTTGACCTATGAAGAAGTGTCAGTTTTCATCCTTGATAGACAAGTTCGTAAGTTGGGAAATAAAGAGATTTCCTCCATCAAAGTGTTATGGCAAAACCAACAAGTCGAAGAGGCCACCTATGAGGCAGAGGAAGATATAAAGAAAAAATATTCCCATTTAGTTGTAGAACCAATTAGCCATGTTTAAAAGATACTAGAAGTTTCTTTTTCATGCATTATGTCTTGAATTTGTAAACCTTATGCTAATGCATCCGTAATGGCAATGCAATGAATATAATGTTATGGTTCATGTTGCTCTTATGTTTGTAATACCTTGTTGGGCTATGAGATGTGTTGTTAGGTTGATTTCTGTAGCTTTCTGACAGGTGGATAGGCTTAGATGCAAAGGAAACTCTACCAAAATTTTTAATGATCTGGGGGCAGCCAAATCTTGGGGCATCAGTAATTAGTGATTTATGGTGTTAAAGTGGGGAGTTAAGTCATGCTCGGAGAGTATGGATGACTTTAACCCTAGTTCGAAGATGGATTATCCTAAGTAGGAGAGAAGGTAAAGCCCCGTAAAAGTTCGTCAGGGATATAAGGCTTTGAAGTGCCAAGAACAAGCTAAGATGTTTGGAAGGTTGAGCAAAAGTTTCACGGCGAGCTTTGCGATCCGCAGAATGGATTTGTAGGCCGTAT